GAAATCCATGATCCGGGTTTCGTCCCATTTGGGGGCTCATTAGCCAGGTACACATGATTTCACCCCTGGATTCCAGGCCAGTACAATAAAGATTCACTCAGCTACTGAGTCCAGGTAGTCGTTGACTTGTGCAGCGGGGTATGGATTTTAATTTAATATGTAATGGCTTGGGTCATCATATTGGCTACATTGAAGCAATCTGCATAGGATGTACAACTGCTAAGCAGGAATGATCAGATTTCGGTCAAAATATCAGCAAGGGGATAATCCAAACCACTACATAGTAAGTTTAAAGTCCCGCGTTAGATCTCATGAACAAGGATAGCCGTTCAGTGTCTAGAAATCTCAAGTTAGGACAAAGAATTCGTCCGCCATCACTTTTGTTTTTAATTACTTTCTGGCTGAAACTGGTGACAAAAACTAGCTTTACACTTGCATTAAATGATAAAATCATGTATTGCCACGACCGAAATTGTTAGTTAATAGACATTCATATGTGTTTTGACGAAAGCAGCTATCCATATATTAAGTTTTTCTCATAAGGAAATTTTGTTTTTAACATACTGATGTATATATAATTGGTCATAAGATTTACATTGATCGATTAGTAAAACGTAATCAATGGCATATTGATCCCTTAATGTTGATTGAATTCTGTCGATCAAGTTGCACATGTTGCTGCTAGTCCAAGTGACCAAATATCCTATGTTCTGTGTTTTGATGCCGAATGGTTGGAGATAATCAGTAGCAGACCCTGAATATGGGTTTCATGTTAACTGGCGTTCGACTGATCAACACCAACGACTAAACAAACGTGACATTACTTACGACACGATGACATATAAGTGTAAATATCTTAGTCGTATAGGTCAGTAATAGCTCGAATGAGCAAATGGTGACATTTAGGGCTATTAAATAAGATGAAGCAGGATCAGATCCTATGGTCACAATCAGTCCTTTCAAGATTGCAGGTAAACCTTCCTGAAGAACCCAAACTACCATGAAATCTAGGTTCACAGCTTCTTACCAATTATCTCCAACCACTTAACGTCAAAAGTCATCAAGTTTGCATTTATCCATCACTGATATTTAGAATGACAATCACTACATACAGAATATATGTATATTAGTCGGTGAAGGTGGAAAATTCTTTCCTTGATGATATTCACGAATATGTAACAGTAAAAGTGAGATGAATGTACTTTAAGCTGATGAGTTTTATATAACCAGGAAGCGAATGTGCCGAACTCTTGTGTTAGGAATGTTAAATTCTTAGAAAATTACTTCCTCACTGGATTATTTGGTCACTTTCATTTTGTAAATTTAAGTAACAGACATTATTTTAGTATTGTTCACTGATTCTTTTAAGTCCCGCTAAGTGTTCAACCTACTTTCAAAATCATTGTGCACATATTGATACCTTAATAATGTTTGGATAAATCAATTTATTTTGATTGTTAACAAAAAATCTTTCTTGCAAGATAGTTTCCTGAAATAGATGAGAGTATAAAAAGAAAGAGATTTGTGGCATCCATGTACGAATCACAGCTAGGAATTATTACCGCTTACATGCAATATAAATTACTCTACCAGGCATTTTCAAAATAAAATAAAATTTTAATTCTAAACAACAAGATATGCATCCAAAGTGATCTACATACAAACAGAGACTGATCAACTCAGTTTTGAATATTAACAATAGTAAAAATATGAATCCCTTATATAATAATACTATAATACTACAATGGTGTACGGTGGCGCAACTTCGTGGATTGGTTGAAGTTAGACATTAACACCGTTGGATGCCGGCTCAGTGGTCTGGTCGGTTAAGCGGCTGGCGCGAGACCGATAGGTCCTGGGTTCGAATCTCGCGGGGCGCGAGATCGTGGATGCGCACTGCTGAGGAGTCCCGTACAAGGACGAAACGGCCGTCCAGTGCTTCCAGGTTTCCTATGGTGGTCTAGATTCATGACTCATGATTTCAAACAGCGATATTATATTTATTTTATAAATAAAATAACCTGATATATATGACAGTAAATAAAACAGAACTCACCATAAATTTAGGTGAAGAAATAAGAATTCGTAAATCAACATAGATTGGAGAGATTATACCTGATTTCAATTGATATTTACCAAATTTCACTACACCCATATCGTAAAACGTTAAAGCTATACGATTTCTTTCCATAATCAATATTACTACAATTCGATAAAATTAAATAATATTAGTATAATAAGCAATCCAACTGTAATATTGTTAGTATAGGGGTTGTGGAGATTGTTAAGTTTTTGATTGAGATCTTGAACCGATTGATGTTAGACTACGATTGAAAACCTGGAAGCACTGAATGACCGTTTCGTCCTATTGTGGGACTCTTCAGCAGTGCGCATCCACGATCCCGCTCGCGGGATTCGAACCCAAATGAATAGATATCAGAGATAGCATTGCTTGATCAGTGAACAGTAAACAATGCTATATCTGCTTAATCCTATAGGATGTCAACCAATACTTGAATAGCTCAGTTGAGATAACTCTGATTTTGAGTTATCCTTATCAACTCCAACCACATAACATTTAAAGATATCTGAGTGAAAGGAACACAAATAGCAAACTTGAAAACGCATGGGTACTATTCAAGTTTGAATGGAATCTACATATTAACATAAAAGGATAATGTTGAGTTGAAACAATCCTTATTACATAGAACAACATACAATCAACTTTAACAAAATAATATCATAAAGAGGAAAAATGTATTTGTAAAATTTCAGCGAATGAATTTGAAATCCAACGTTTCGCCTGACAATCTGATACATGCTTTTTCAAGGAAATATGATATTTACTCCAAATTCATTCGCTGAGATTTTACAAATACAACATTCTTCCTGTTTAATGTCTCGCATCAACTCGACACCCAAATACTATGAAACTATTCGATCAAATTTAGACGAAAGTTCTTATAAAATAGTATCTTAATTGACCAATAAAGTATTAGTAGTGTGTGCAGTTTTTAACAAATATGTCATGATTTTGAATCCAAACTAGCTAATTCTAATTCGACAGCTGGATATCATCAGCCTTCACAGAAACGGTTGGGTGCAGATTCGAGTACATAAACACCAACTTGATGATGGATGAGTTATATTGACAAATTGCACGTACACGTTACGATACATTTGCATTGTAAATAACATTCAAATATTCCACTGAAAGCATTGGACACAGATCGGTTCATGACTTCGATGAAGTTCAACAACCTCAATAAGCCCATATTGAAAAAACTTATATATATGTTGAGTTTTTTAAATGGATTTATCAAACATAGTCTGTGAAACGTAACTGGAAAAACAGTCATGTCGATCGAACAACTTGGGCTTGCACAGAAATTAGCTGTCAAAAGAAAATATACCCAGAAATTTAAACAATGTTTTTTTGCTGTTCTAAACACTTGACCGATGAGATGAAGGATAGATATCTATTCAAAATCCTGTATCCTTTAGGAAGTGATCCTATAGTACGTAATGAGTGGTGTCCTAAATAAAATCCTGTTTACTGACTCCTTATTTGCTATCATTCCTCAGCTATTGACTGGAATGAGTGCTTTTAAGTCAATTTTGAACCATACTTTAGGTGTGGGGTCTAGTAAGACCGCCTAGCTGCCCAAACTGCAGTATATATCGTAATATCCGAACCTGGGACCTAGTAGTTGAAAGCCGAGAACTGTCACCTCCTAAGCCATAGCTTCCTCAAAAAATAACAGACCGTAAAATTAAAACCGTCCAAAAATCCACCATATACATTTTAACAAAACGCTCAGATTGTCTGCGAAGTTTTAAATGCTCACCAGTTGTGTAATATCCAGCATTTTTGGTTATTTTTACATTCATTTAATGGATATGCATTATGGAAAAGTGTAATTCTCTTCGGAGGATTTCACTTCAAAAGGATGAAGTTATCCGAAACTATTTCTAGGAAAATTCCGGACATGTCTGACACATGCCAAATTAAAAGCACAAATATAATAAAAGTTACAGCTTCAAAAATGAAATCTTTAATGAAAATTACACTTGAATCGACAGCAATCACCCACTAAATGAATGGGAAAAATATCACCGAAATGTATTCGTCACAACATAATTGATAAGCACTAAAAGCGCCAGGGTTAACATCAATCCTTCTTTATTTATTTATTTATTTAAACACATAAACATTGGTACAAGGAGGCACCAAATATATATGCGCCACATAAATCATTCGATTTATATGAGGGCTGAAATACTGCTCGGGTGCCCAAACCCAAGCAGGTGGTTTTCTTAGGGAGCCACACCCAGAACCTTTGACTTAAAGGTCTGGTCCACAAGGCAGTGGAGCAACGTTAGGAGATGCGGTCCAATGATACCCGGTGACTAACGATTGGTTCATACACCATTTTTTCCTTCAGGATACTGGAGCCCATGTGCAACATTAGTTTGGAACCAGGGTTTTCTAACTCCCCTAGGTGGACCCTTCGTGTCCACTGACATCAATCCGTAAAATAAATAATTATTAACATGGTAAAAATTCTTTTTGATAAATATTTAACCTTTTTTAGAGGTTGATTAATAAACAACGCTACTCTTGGATTCACAACAATAAACTAATCAGAAAGGTAAAATAAAAACTACACGTTACAAAATCACAAGTAATTTTATTCAATAATATTTACAGAACAGTATGTTGTTGTTTCTCTCTCTCTCTCTCTCTGAAAACAAAGAGGAAACGAAATGCAATGTAAAATAACCAAAGAGAATTGAACAATTCACTACATCAGGAGGTAAACAGAACGATAATTTGAGGGAGGGGGGAATGTTCGAAAGAAATGAAGAAGAGAAGTAATGATCTATACAGAATGAAAACAAAACAAAAAAAACATTACACAACAATAACAAACTTATTTACAAAATGTACAAAATTGAACAATGATGTATTTTAGATGATGGGGAAGAAAAAAACAAGATCAAAAAACATTTGAATTTGATGGAGTTTCTAATCCAGACTCGAAATCATACAATTCTTCAATTAATTCAGGTCTTAATGTGAAATTATTATTAAGATTAAATGAATGATTCAATTCATGGTGATAATTATCATTTCCTACTAATTGTATACGATTAGTATATTGAAACCAACGTGATAAATTAGTAATTAAACAAAAATAATCTGGTAAACAATCAGTATATGATTGAAAACATTGATCACCATGTCTCCATAATAATCCAATTAAAGCACGTGTTAATTGACCAAAAGCAAGTAAACAATATTTTTGTTTCATTAATAATATATAATATGTAAATGTGGATTGATGATAAATTAATGATGTTGATAATAAACTAGTAGGAATAGTTAATAATGTTTGTAATGGATTAGTTGCTAAATAAACTAATGTTGAATAAACCTGTCGGACAAAAAAAAAGAAAGAAAAAGAAATTTATACACAGAAATACGAAAAACTACTTTATTGCACACATAATTCCAAAGAAAATAATTATTTCAAGAGTTGAGATCATGAGTCAATTGAATCCCTCCTGATACTAATCAACATATGCTCACTAGTGACTGGTTTCAAGAGATATAATCCTGGAGTTCTAGTGAGAAGCAGTGACCAGTGGAGTTCACTTGGGTCATTTGTGAGATAGTAACTCACTGATGATAATAGTGGATGGGTCGCTCAATTTCGTGGATTAGTTGAAGTCAGACATTAACACCGTTAGATGCCGGCTCAGTGGTCTAGTTCGTTAAGTGTTTGGCGCGAGACTGATAGGTCCGGGGTTCATATCTCACGAGGTGGGATCGTGGATGCACACTGCTGAGGAGCCCCACAATAGGACGAAACGGTCGTCTAGTGCTTTCAGGTTTTCCATGGTGGTCTAGCTTCAATTGACTCATGATCTCAACTTTTGAAATTACTACAATTTCCACAAAACCCCTTCTGAAAATAATTATTATTTGAAAGAAAAAAGTTTCTCATAAATTAAGATAGAAAGTAGGTAAACTTGTTCTGGGTTTTTCTTTTCTTTTCATAGCTTATGATAATTTTGAACAATTGGATTCTATCTATGCGAACTAGATAGTTCAGACAATTAACACACAACACTATAAACACTAATCATTTATATGATTGAAGAGGGAGAAGTTAAGAACTTAGCAAAAAGAGTACATATCTAAAAATGCTGAGATTGTGATAGAACAAGTCTATTCACGTAACAACAGAAAATGTAACACTGAGACACAATAAATAAATAAATAACAGACTAAAAATAAGAACAATAGTCACTAGGAAAAGATTATCGCGAGCTGTCTTACATCAATTTTTGAAACTATGGATATAATTTGTTAGAATTATGATTTATCTTTACTAGCCCCATAATTCAAAAAACTACTACTAATGTGTACAACAGACGTTCAATTTCAGTTTAACGACAGTATATATCGTCAAATCGATGGCGTAGCAATGGGAAGTCCATTAGGGTATCTTGAAAACATGGTGCTTAAACAGACAATCAGCGAAACGATAGAATACTCTAGATATGTTTATGACAAGTTTATTGTCTGTAACAAAAATAGCATGCAATCCACCTGTTAAAACTCTTTAATAATGCTCATTCTAACATAGAATTTACTATGGAACACGAACAGAATGACAAGTTCCACTTTCTTGATACTGCCATAAAACGTAGAGAATACGGGACAGTTCAACGTTCAGTTTATCGAAAAAGTACTTAGGATGACCTTTACCTGAATTTCGGTAATTCCTGTCCAATCAGTTACAAGAAGGCATGGGTTATGTACCATCGACAAACTGGAAGAATTGATGAACGTTGAAAAATGCTTAAGAGACAACTGTTACCCACAGAAATTTATTGACAAATATTTTTAAAAAAACTAAAGAAAACGAGACAGAAGTGATTACGGTCAATAAAAAACCAACATCTATAAATTTCAACTTCAAAGGTGATGATGTCGCAAACACAATCAGCAGGAGACTCAACACTGCATTAGTCAGAACTTATCCGGCAGCAAAACTAATTAATTCTGTGTAAAACAACATGTTCAATAACTCAATCAAAGGTTGACAATCACCCCTTTCGTATTACCTCCAACTGTATTCATGAATTTACGTGTACCTGCCAAAGGAGCTACATTGGCTGAACAGAAAGGAGGGCATATGTTAGACTTTTTGAGCATGTTCCAAAAAGCCTCAGAACAAGAGAAAGAAAGACTCCAAACAGTGCAATTACCGGACATCTTCTGGATACAGAACATTAGGTCGATACCTTGCAATCTTTCAATGTGATTAGTAAGCAACCTGAACACTAGTCTTCTGAAGTTTGCTGAAGCCATTGCTATCAGGCGTCAAAAACCTGACTTATGGGTTCAAAAGGAAATGGTTATTAATCTTTCCTTGTCTCGGTGACAAATATCTTTAACATTTTCTTTTTAACTCTTTCTTAGTGAAGATTTTCAGGATTTCATGATAAATTATTGTATTAAAATACATTTTCAAAATTTTAAGGTTAAGAATAATTTTCAGTTAAAGCATTGCATCTACTTGAAAACATGTTAGATGGTTTAAATGTAGACAGTAGAAAGCTCTGGTACCTAGGTTTTATCTTATTTTACACATACTATCAAGACGTATTAGTTACATTGGAAATAGTCAGCTGGACATCCTGCAACTCGGTTTTGTCGAATGAATTAAACTATTGCTGACATTGTAACTTAATAAAATTTAATCAGAAATAAAGGATTGGACTAACATAACATTGTTCACTACTCAGGGACCAATCAAGCGTACGTTATTTTCGTAATTGAACTCCTGTGGAGTTGAGATATTCAGCATTAACTGACCAATCTGTAGTAACCATTGTAAAGTTATTTATGTGGTAACAGGTAATCACCAGAAAGTCATGGAACTTTTTAGGACTTGGCAGCTAGATGTACCTGCATTTAAGGGTTGATGTTCACCCCAGGACTCCAGACCAGTAATGTTCATTACAAACACCAAAGTGTTATCCGCCTAGCTACTGAGTTTACATATCCACTCACTTGTGCAATGGGGTATAAATTTTAATTTAATCTGTAAATATTTGGACTATTCCATATTCGTTACATTGACTAGTATTTTATCAATCTCTGTTGGAATCAATGCATTCTGTAAGGATTGTTGTGATATTGGTTTTAATTACAAGTTATAAATCCAAGTCGACCAAAAACTTGTAACTAAAGACGATATCGGTCCAATCTATAAAAGATGAACAGACACCAACAGAGACTGATAAAATACACCCCAATTATATCAATGGAAAAATTTAAACCCTTACATATATGGCTCCGTATCCACTAGACAAGTTACCGATTATCTGCATCCAGTAATTCAATGAATAATGCGTTGGCGTTAAGAGCGAAAGATACTAAGTTCGATTCTTAGTGTGGAAATAAATGGGATGCAAGTACATACGACTGGCTAGTCACATACAAGACGAAATGCGAGTGTTGGATTTCGCCCCTAGCCACAATTTCAACTTTACTACCGATGTAATAATGATAAGTTAGTTTTCCGTCAATAATGTATGTAAATGATAAACAACAGTTAACATACCAATTCACTCTTTGAGTATGTATATTTGAAATCTTTTAAAGACATTTAACAGTGGATAATGAATTAATTACTTACCTGACGTTTACAGTAACAATTATCAGGCCAAACTATATCTTCACGTTGAGTAAGCACAGCAATCATTCCAGAAAACTGTAAAGTTAACAAAGAAATTTATATTGTAACGAATAAAAAAAATATGGAGAGATGTAACATGCAATTCATAGAATATCAAGCGAACTTTATAAGTATAATGTTTATTTATTTGTTTATTTATTTATTTGAAAACATAAACATTGGTACAAGGGGGCACCAAATACATATGCGCCACTCAATAATAATGAGACCAGTAGCAGTTGTCATTGATTTGTATGAGAGCTGGAATACTGCTCGGATGCCCAAACTGAAGCAGGTAGTCTCCTTAGAGGGCCACTTACCATACTTTTGATCTGAAGATCTAATCCACAAGGTAGTGTAGCAACGTTAGAAGACTCAGTCCCATGGTAGTCGGTGACCAACAATAGGTTGGTACGCCATTTGTTCCCTAGAGATCCTGGAGCCCATGTGCACCATTGGTTTGAAATCAGGGTGTTCCAATTCTCTAGTGTGTTAAAGTACTACTTTCGTGGACATATGAACGAGGAATAAACATGAAGATGTAATATAGTATCATAATCATTCGTTACATCCTCATGTTTATTCCTTGTTCATATGTTATCATGGAACTTACATATGTACATTCATCTAGGTCACCTGGCATTATATAGCAACATGAAAAATATATATGTCAAAAATAAAGCACGTGGAGAAACATGTCAACCAACATTGCAAACAGATTGACATTGTGAACAATATATATCCGTGGACAGCTCAACATTTTGTACTTTCAAGTTCAAATGAGCAGATTATTATTATTATTATTATTATTATTATTATCATTAGTGGCTTTATTCAATATCATATTTTTGGTACAATATAGAATTCTCAGCTAAGATCGCATAAAAAGAGTAATTTTGATTGTAATTCATTGTTCTTTGTAATTATATACTTGATATCATCTGATGTTCCTGTGGCTAAACAAAAAGTAAAGTTCTGAAGATAGTAATCGTATTTATTGTCTTGATACTACAAGTTGTTGGAGGTAGGCTGCAAGAAACCCTGGACGTAGGTTTCGTATTACTTGGTACTCGTCATTAAGACATATTTGTAATCTTGAAGGAACTGACACTTTCTGTGTCATTCAAATCCATATTACCCAATCTCATATTCGAAGATGTTACCATTGAACTATTCAAGTAGCGATTGACTTCCTGTACGACTGATCAATCAACACGTTGTTTGGTGAAATCCATTCCTTAATTAGTGCACTTCAATCCAGTCAGTTATGTGAATAATTATCATTAGTGTACTAATGTAAACAGTAAAAGTATCCATAACATTGCTTTTTTCATAAAAAACAAAAAGAAGACCACACACACACAAAAAAAAAACTTACTTCATTCAATAAATTAATTCTTTGCATTTCTGCTGAATCATAAAACTCAATATTGTTAGAAATTAATGAATTTGATAAAAGTGTAGAATCATTAAATTGATTCAAAAGTTGATAAATCCATGAACATAATGAAAGTAGACCACATTTTATAGATGTACCGAATAATTTTTCAATGTATTGTTGACGGACATCTACGAAAACAAAAAAAGATTTCATTAAAGTAGTTGTAATAGCAAAGAGCTTCTATCCCAAGCGCAATAACAAATGCAGGAGAAGACGACCAGTGTAGCAGCAGACTCAGCAGCAGTAGGTCTCAATATACACAAAGGGAAAAGTAAGATTCTCCGATACAACACAGCATGCAACAATCCAGTCACAATTGACGGAGAAGATTTGGAAGATGTAAAAACCTTTACATATCTGGGCAGCATCATTGATGAACAGGATGGATCTGATGCAGATGTGAAGGCGCGGATCGGCAAAGTAAGAGCAGCATATTTACAACTGAAGAACATCTGGAACTCAAAGCAACTGTCAACCATCACCAAGGTCAGGATTTTCAATACAAATGTCAAGACAGTTCTACTGTATGGGGCAGAAACCTGGAGAACTACGAAAGCCATCATCCAGAAAATACAGGTGTTTATTAACAGTTGTCTACACAAAATACTTCGGATCCGTTGGACAGACACTATTAGCAACAACCTACTGTGGGAGAGAACAAACCAGATCCCAGCGGAGGAAGAAATCAGGAAGAAGCGCTGGAAGTGGATAAGACACACATTGAGGAAAGCACCCAACTGCGTCACAAGACAAGCCCTCACATGGAATCATCAAGGCCAAAGGAGAAGAGGAAGACCAAGGAACACATTACGCCGGGAAATGGAAATAGACATGAGAAAAATGAACAAGAATTGGATGGAACTAGAAAAGAAGGCCCAGGACAGAGTGGGTTGGAGAATGCTGGTCGGCGGCCTATGCTTCGTTAGGAGTAACAGGCGTAAGTAAGTAAGTAATAGTAAACAGATTTGATCATTATTATTTTTGTCCTGAAAAATACAATAGTGAATGTACTAATATGAAAATAAACGTTTAAGGGAACTAGCAATATATTTCCCCCTTCCACCATAACTTTCGACACAGTTCTCTACTAATGATTCAGAAGAAAGAACGCAGAAATTTTATTACCACTGCAGTGAATGATAGAATGAAAACTTTACTTTTCCTTAAGAACTAACCTTTGAAGATGTCGACTTTCTAAACAGTTATGACAAGCTGATCTGATCTATAATTTATTTTCAAATAATAATACTATTTCGAACATTTTCAGCCATTCACTATAATATGACTGAAAAGGTATCAACTACGATGTTCTAATTTATAATATATCCATTAATATTCATGTAAACATTTATTTGGTAGGTACAAACCCATATATTGTTCAAAGCCTAACGATAGTATCCAATTATTTAGGATAATTTTGTCAAACTAAAATGTAACATGCGTAACTCCTACATACAGACTACAGATTAGAATCCATCACAATAACCTAGATGTATCTATTATTTGTCCCAAACTATATCCTGAATCTCGTTATTGTATTAAACTTTTTATTTTGTCAATCCATTCTTACATACTGAAAAATATCCTCTATTCCCAATCCACATATTTTCAGCGATACTATCACTCCTATTATCTTGATACTCATCTTCTTAATTTCATCTGATTGTACTGATGTGGATGCACATTTATGAAAGGTTCTACATTAAGTGAATGACTGACCTGATTGATTAACTGATTACGCTTATCATAGAGTTGAGATTTGAATTTTCAACCTTTTTTTACCGAGATTACAGTTCAGCACTGTTTTCCATTGAAAACTTGGTTCAATTATCTCTAACACCTGAATATCACTTGTAAAGTTTTAAGTTTATATTTTATATACCCTTTATCTTTCTGCACTTCAATTTGTACAAGTGGACATCAGCATTTAATTCGTCTGTTGTTTGTTTGTAAATATTTCATATACACTTACATTTATGTATAGAACTATCAACTTTCTTTAATGTACTGATCATTATAATATTCACGTATGTATAAACACATGTATCTTCATCATGTTATTCTCCAATCCAATGGTTTACATTTCTGACTTCAGTCAATTTGTAACTTAGGCTACCTATCAATTGCTGTTAGTTGAACGCCAATGATTATGGATTCGGAGTACAACTCAAGAACTTCGCAAAGTTAGGCACTAGTAAATACATGATGATGAGTTAGAAAGTATCAATCAAATATGTGACTACAAATATTTTTGTACAAAAAAAAAAACACTTTTTACTAAGGTATTAAGCAATAAATAAAGTATCTACTTTTCAAGATTATTGAATTAAAATTTTGATCGTCTAAATCCCACCACTGGTCACAACAATGTCCACCAGGCCAATGCTTCTGAGCTATCATTTGTCTCCATAGGCGAAGGAAACTGATCAATGGCTTTAAGGTTACAACAGGACGATTCTTGATAATATTTGTTATACCAGTATGTAAAGAGGATCCACAGTGATTTTTTGTGGTCGCAGTAACATCAGTTGATTCATCATCTTGACCAAAACAAGCCTCCGATGTTAGGATAATACAATTCAAAAGTTGAGGAAAACATGTGTTCAGTTCAGAACTAAAGGTATATATATGTAAAATAAAATTAAAAAAACAAGAGCAATAAAGAATGTACTTTACGGTTTTAGATTACATTACATACAGAAATACATCTTAAAAGCCAACAAAAAAACTAAGGAGTGATCTTAAATTTTTACATTGCTGCTACTAATCCATAAACCATGGACTTTCTGCAGTTTCCTCGTTGATTACTTTTTTATCAATTCACACTGCCAGAGAATTCCTACTCACTGCCATTTCGTGGCAGGGGAGTAGTTGATGGAGTTGAGAGAATGAAAAGTGGATGTCTGACGCCTCAACTAGGTTGATGGATATGGAGGATCCATCTAGGGGAGTTAGGAAACCTTGATTCCAAACCAATGGTGCACATGGGCTCCAGGATCTCGAGGGAACAAATGGCGTACCAACCTATTGTTGGTCACCGACTACCATGGGACTGAGTTTTCTAACGTTGCTACACTACCTTGTGGATTAGACCTTCAGATCAAAAGTATGGGAAGTGGCCCTCTAAGAAGACTAAATGCTTCAGTTTGGGCGTCAAATCAAATGATTTGTGTGGCGCATATGTATTTGATGACTCGTTGTACCAAAGTTTATGTGTTTAAATAAATATTAAATAAGATCTCTCATGGCGAAGTTCACACTGTATATTTTTATACAACCCCCTTTATAGTACAGTCTACCGTAAAGATCTACCCTAAATTTACTTACAGATGTTACTCCTCGTGAGGCATAGGCTACCCACTAGGATTCTCCACCGAACTCTGTCCTGGGTCACCCTTTCCAGATTCTACTAATCTTTTTCATATCTACTTCTAATTGTCGACGCAGTGTGTTCTTTGGCCTTCCACTTTTCCGTTTCCATTCAGGATTTCAAGTTTGCGGTTGCCTCGTGATGCAGTTTGATGATATTCACAATGTATTTCCTGTCCACCTACGTCTTTTTTTATTTCCTCTTCAGTTGGAAGTTGGTTTTTCCTCTCCCACGGTAGGTTGTCGCTGATGGTAACAGACCGGCGGACATTGAGTATCTTGCGTAGACATTTATTTATAATACATTTTTGGTGGTGATTGTAGTAGTTCTGGAAGTTTCAGCCCCGTACAATAGAAGAGGTCTTTATAATCCAGTTGACCACCAAAAAATAAAAGCAAGAGGTAGCAGACTTGTCTGACACCGGTCTTCGCTTGTAATGCATCTATGAACTGCCCTCAATCCACAACTTTGAAGCTCAGTCCCTCAAAAGAGTCCCGTATGATGTTGACGATCTTCTTAAGTACTCCATAGTGTCGAAGAGGATTCCACAAGGTTCTCATATTCTCATTGTCAAATTCTTTCTCATAACACAGGAAGTTGATTGCTCATTCTACTAGCTCATTTTAATGTCAGGTGTCATCAAGAAAATCTGTGTATGCTTATGCATGACGTTTAATTGTGGTCATTAAGCACCCTCAACTTAACATTTTGTAAGCATTAAGTCCTATGTCCTATTGTAACTTAACACTTAACACAATAATAATATAGTAGTAGTTCAACCAATATTAAAAATGGAAATAAATGTGTAAACTCAATTCATATTATTGTTATTACTGAATCACTATCAGATACTGATGCCTGTACTTCACTTGGATCCATATTTATAGTAGGAGGGCTATTGATACTAACCGGTTTTCAAAACCAAAATAAATGGGATGGGATTCAAACCTGAGACTTATTGTTTGAAAGTAGAACGTCTCAACCGCTGAGCCACCGCTCATTTAATGAATAAAGAACTAACGAGAAACTATTGATAAATAATTCATGAAAACCAACATGAATAAATTGGTATTTTGCTAAATACACTTACAAGTTTGTTCCATTCACATCTGTATTGGAAACCTTGTTTTTCAATGGATTTGTATCAGTTTTAATAAAAACTGCAAATACAGAGGCTAAGTTTAAACATTCGATAATTAAAGGTACAATAATACAAAATGATGAAATGTAATTTTTTCGTTTAGAAGTAGTATACTGAGATTGTTTAAAAGATGACTGATCAATTGAACACGCAACATTTGTAGTATTGTCACCAATTAATTCATTTTGTATTAATGTTGTTGATAATGATGAAATTGGATTTTTTCCTTCTTCCATTTGACTTGAACAAGATAATGAATGAGAGAAGAGAAAATATAACAAGAACAACAAACAACAAGCAAAGTCAAAATATGACTAGCTGTTAACATTTTTTAGTAATATAAAATATTGAAAGTATTAATAAGGTATTGAAATTTTCCGTTGTTCATATTCAGGACTCTAAATGATATACATAAATTCGAAGCGAATCGCTTCAATATAACCTTTTGATTACAATTTCTAGTACATATGGATTCTGATTAAAATTGGAATCAATGATGCGCTTTTTTTCATATTCCAAACGAAATCTACCTACATCCTAGTGTTGATATTCAAACTGAGACTCGGATGGAGTCAATCAGTCAGCTAGAACGTACGACCAGGACCAAGTTGCCATACCTCATTAACACAACAAGATGAACACCGGATTCAGAAAAGCAGTTAATTCAGAGGTGGTAATATATAAAAGAAAGATTCCAATAAGGAGATAGTACAGGAAGGAAGAATTAGTTCGTAGAAAGAAAGATATGAAGTAATTTCAATCTCATAGTTTAAAGGAAGACAGAGTATATAGACCTACGTTATTGTTATCGATTCTGAGCCATGTCACACACAGTCTCTAACCATTGGTTACGATAGTCACGCGAACCTCAACCAAGTAGTCTGCATCTACCAACATGGCTCAGACTAGAAGTTAGTGATTTCAAGCACTGATGTCACTTTTTGGTTTGGCCTCCCCTAACTTTCTTCCAACTCGAATTCAGTGCCTATCATGTCAAGTATATGAAGATCAATAACGAAGATGTGAACGAATCTTCTCTTATTTTTAGCTAGCCAAGGTGTACATTTTACAGGCAAGCTCCTAGTAAGACCGATATATTTAGACCCATTTAGCTAAGTAAAATTATAAACATACACTATTGTTTTCAGTCTCCACACTAATCAACCGATAGAACCCCAAGTTGAAATGTCATAGATTCTATTTAGAAATTTTCAGTTTCATACAGAGAATATTCACAATATATTACCTCTGAATTAATGCTCAAAGGTAAAATCTACTACAGAACTAGGTGACCATAATCCCAAATCATTTATTTTCGTGCTCAAATTTTGTTTTATGAATATTTTTTTCACTTCTTTGACTTTGACTCACTAACCCAATCACTAATTACTTGAAGCCACGGGCCACATTCAAAATGTGAGGGCAAGTGACACTAACCGGTTGCCCAAAATCAAGTACGTAGAGGAGAATTCAAACCTCGAACTTAATGGAGAAAAGATGAGAATCTTAACCACTGAGCCAAAACTTCATGAATTTTGTTTCGTATCCAAAAACATGATTTAATGAGTTCTCTCATAATAAGTCATTAAGTTGTTTTCTATTGTTAAACACAAAACAATAACAGAAAGATTGGACTTACAAAAAGACATCTATAAGTTTATTAATGAAACGGGATAAAACACCAGAAATTGTTCGAATAAGATTTTGAAATTCTTTAGCAATGCATAGGAGTTCATCATTATCCATAGTAAAATCAGTGTTCATTCCATTAAACATTTCAAATGAAATAGGACAATAAGAATTAATAATTGTAGCCAAGTACTTTAATTGATTAATTCCTTGTATACTTCGACTAATCATAATTTCATGATAAAGTGAAGGGCAGCTAGTAATTTTATCAGCGCTATTATTATCAATTATTTTATTATCACCAACAATAGGATTAGTCAAGGACCAGTAACCAACATCTGAGGGACATGATTTGTTTCTTTTCATTAAGATAGAATTTCCTCCCACTTGTTTTGAAATGGCTACGGAAAAATAAGGAAATTAGATTGAACAATGTAAAAGTCAATTTAAACAACAAGAGAAAAAAACAAGTGCTTATTTATTATTAATATTCAAGACAAGCCGGATTATGTGTACTTATCCATCTTAATCTGAATGAGTAAGAATAACGTACAACTTGAAAGATGTGTATGTCAGTTTAAGATTAAATGTTTATTTGTAACCGAGCATCTAATTACTGGTTCATGTACTTTATGAGTAAAAATCAATAATACAATCAATTGGTCATTGGACAGTGATCAATGTAGTTTGCTTAATCCTTCAATGTTGATCGAATTTGATCAATCACGTTGTAATGTGGCCCTAGTCAGAGTAACTCAACATTAAGTGCATTTTGTTAAAATATTAAGAAGTTGGACGTAGTTAGCGGCAAACCCTAAAATTAAGTTTCGTGCTGGGGTATCCGTAATTTTGAAGGGACTGATGGTCACAGTGGGATTCGAAAACGATTTACCCAGACCCACAGTCTGAGATGATATGACTAATCTATTTGGAACGCGGTTGACCACCTGTACAACTGAGATGTTTCGAATTGATCGATAACTGAGTAATAATCAGCGTTATGCTTATCTGGTCTTTTAGTGGTTAGTGATGCGATAAGGATAACTAGGCTCGAGAAAGAAGGTTAAATAAGATTTGAACTTGTGACCAACTGGTTGGAATTCTCATGTTTTAAGAGCCAACGATGTATTTATTTTACTATAGTTTTTTTTGGGGGGGGTGAATTGAGGATTTCGAGACGAGATAATTAGGGATCGTTACAAAATGCATTAACACAATAGAGTGGAAGACCGAGCATCCATCTATCGTCCGAGTATTTATGTTTACCCACATGATTTCGATGTCATTTTCTAAAAGCTATTCAATATCATGTGAAGAGAATAAGTTGACATCAAAATTAGAGTTATCTTGGTAAAGCTACGCAAATAAACTATTCAGTTTAGTGTACACCATTCCACCGAAATCATCCTATACTGAATCATAAATCTTGTCTACTATATTCAAATTATTAGAATAAACCAGACGGATATAAGTTACAAAGCGTACTAGCTGCATAATCCCACAATTTACCAAGTATAAAGTATGATCAACTGCATAGGTTTTTCTAGAATAGATGGCTTGAATAACGAATTAATACACGCGAAGAAACTACCACTTGTCATAACTGCATTTAACTAGTTTGTGGCATTTATGCTATTTTATTTATTTATTTATTTATTTATTTGAACACATAAATATTGGTACAAGGGGGCACCAGATACATATGCGCCACACAGTAACAATGAGAATGGGGAGAGATAAATAATGTGAGATGTGTTTAAAAAAAAGAACAATAACCACCACAAATTAGTGTATGGTAGTGAAATAACAATAATAATGGGAGAAACAGAAAGGTACAACCAGAAAGAATTCTTTCAGTTAAGTAAGTTACGGCCACTTTTTATGAAGAAAGAAAAGAAGGTTACAGCAGGATCGCCACTGGCTTCTATTCTGAGCCATATCTCATAACGTCTCTCTAGCCATTGTGTTGCACCATCTCTAGGACCCCAACCAGGTAGTCGTGAAGGACCAACAGATGCCAGTCCTGTGCAGCTTTCTTTCATACCACAACACCATGTCATACACTGACTACTTCTCTGCTTTTTCCAACCAGTCCCAGAGTCGACAAATAATGCACAACTAGGAATTCTTTGGGACGACAGTCTTAGAACATGTCCAAGCCACTGAAGTCGATGTTTTAAGATAGTGACACCAATTGAATTATGTAAATGAGATTAATTTAAAGTAATATGTGGCAAATAAATTGCATTCTACTAAATATCTATACATGGTTCCGCCCAAAAAGCCATATGCTTTCGACCTTCTTATGAGGGATACCTTACTTACTGCTTTCTTGTGGTTAGGATATTTTTACCAAAGTGAGAAAGCGAAAGAAATAGATCGTAAGCTTGATTTTGATTTGAAATACAAAAACGTTTGGCACAATAAGGCACCGGAAATATGCTAATTCTGAAATAATGACCCATATGAACCACAGGATCCCAAAGAAAATCACTTATGGACATATCTGTGGCCAATGATTATATTATTATTATTTTAACACATAGATATTGGTACAAGGAGGCACCAAATACATATGCTCCACACAAATCTCATTCGATATGTGTGAGGGCTGTATTACTGCCCGGGTGCCCAAACCGAAGCAGGTGGTTTTCTTAGGGGGCCACTCCCCGAGCCTTCGACCTGAAAGTCTGATCCACAAGGCAATGGAGCATCGTAAGGAGATGCAGGCCCATGGAAGCCGGTGACCAACAATTGGTTCATACGCCATTTGTTCCCGCAGGATACTGGAGCCCATGTGCACCATTGATTTGGAATCCGGTTAAAGCGCCGGACATTCGCTTTTCGTCCTCTCATTTTCGTAAACACCCCTGCCACGAGAAGGGAGTGAGTAGGACTTCCCTGGCCGAGGCTATATACGCGTGGCCATGTGAGAGCATTTCGAGAGGGGGAGCGGACTCTCCCCACTCTCGGCCGTACCAGGGCATTTGGTGGCCAATGATCCCCCATGATGATGCATATTTTGACGTCCACAAATCGCCGGATAGATTAGATTTTCAAGTCGGAGGCTCTAAGAATGGTCCCTTCCAACAGGGAAATAATCTGCTTCGCTTTGGGAAAATGTACAGCACCACAGATCTTAGAAACAATGACAACTGTATAATGTGTTTCCCGAAGAATCATTGTACAAAACATTTAAGAGTAATGAGTGAATAATAGTATAGATCTCTTATTTATTTGAGCACATAAACATTGCTACAAAGAGGCATCAAAATATATGCGCGCCACACAAACCACTGAATTTGTGTGTGAACTAAGATACTGCCCGGACACCCAAACCCAAGTAGATGGTTTTCTTAGAGGGCCACTCTCCGAACCGTTGACCTAGAGGTATAATCCACAAGGCAGTGGAGCAGTGTTAGGGGACACAGTCCTATGGTTGCCATTTTTCCCTCAAGATCCTATAGCCCATGTGTAATATTGGTTCGGGATCACGGTTTTCCAACTCTCCTAGGTGGATCCTCCGTACCCAACAACCCGATTAAACGGCCAAAAATTTAATTTCCGTCCTCTCAATTTTGTGAATAACACCCCACCATGAGAGGGAAGTAAGTAGGACTTCCATGGCAGTAACTATATACCTATGACCATATGAGAGTATTTCAAGAGAGAGAGAACGAACTCTACCCACCCTCGACCTTACCAGATCATTTGGAGGCATTAAATTAGCATAAAATATAATAAAACCAACTAATATATACAATTCAAAAACTTACATTTCATTTGGGAAGGATATGTTAGAGATGTGACAATTTGTGATGCAGGTGCACCAGCAAAAGGATCTTCTCCTAAATAAGATATTTCATGTGAGGTAGCATCATCAGAAACATCCATAGATGATGGTTGTTCATTCTCTTTTTCTGCTATCTCTATGTCTTCAGTCTCGACTTTTTGGAAGTCTGAATAATGACATGATTGAATTGATTTCCTTACATATCGATTATAAGGATCCAAAAGTACACGAATACATGCCTACATATTATTATTAAGAAAAATGATTACAGGAATGCTTTCTAATTAGTTAAATGTCACTCGTAACAAAAAAACTACAGTTACTATTGCCTAAAATGTCAGTTGTTAAAAAATATTACAACTTATAATTACCGATATGAGTAGTCTTTTGCTATTGTGAGCCATTATTCTCAATGACAGAATATGAACTCTATTACTGTCTTTTTAGTAATATATATATAGCTTCTGGGCTTGTACTAAAGTAGTATTAATCTTAATTTCTCTATAAATTCTATATGCTAGGTGGAGTCAAATGAAGAAATTTAATAGTATTATGATACATAAACATTTTGTATTAGTATTATCGAGCGAATGAGGTATAAGCACAAACAAGTAAGCATGAGATACTGAAGTTAATTGATTTGAAAAGAAATATTGATGAAAGAATCATACATCAATCGATAATCCTAAATAATAACCTTATGAAAATGAAACAGTATTCCAGTGGACAACGTTCTGGCATTGAAAACAACTGGTATTGAATTCAAGTATTACTGAAGAAATGAACATTAGGATCCAATGTTGCATCTATCCAACGTACTCTAATTATATTACTGATAAGTAACTATTGGGTTATTGCATAATTTTCCTTTTTTTAATGTCATCCTTCGAAATGACATTTACTACACAAATCATCAACATGAATGGATAGTTGAATAGAAAAATGTTAGTGTCAACGTACTTTTAACTGCTCTTCTATTCTTCGTATTAAGTAGGGTACAGATTCAGAGAATCGTTTAACCACTAAATTTAGTCGTGATACATAGTTGTCAGATGATGACTGGATTCCACTAAGAATATCTGACTGTCGTGGAAGTAATTTACTTAACCCTGTGAGATAATAATCTGATAACAACCAAGTGGAATCTTCTGAAATTGAAAAAGATGATGTGACCAATGTTGTTTGAGGATTAATATCGATGCTACTCCTGAAGAAGAAAAAACATGTATATTAGTCTATATTCCTATTTACGAATAGTTAGTCAAAAATAGGTTCAGCAAACATCCAAGCGAACCTATTTGTACTATCTCTCACCGTGCTATACAACATGGTCTTAGTTTTAGGGAATAACAGAGTTGACCATTTAGGTATTTATACAGCTTAGCTTTTTAGTTGTGTGTAGGTATATGTAAGTTATCCATGAAGGATGTACCAGTAAGAAACTGTTTGACAATTTCGTGATCGATGATTCCCAAGTCAACATGTGAACTAAGTGTGACCTTGTTCAGTTTTTAACTCAAAAATTGACTCTTATGGCCTGATAATCATCCACGATTCAATATGAAAATATAAGTTGCAACACTGATTAAGTAGTAATTGAACAGAAGCCCTATTAATATCACAGTTATTTTAGGAGCGGTGACTTAGTGGTTAAAACGCTTGGTTTTCAAAAATAGATCGCTGATCCGAATCTCATTTAATCTACTTCAAATGGAAAGCTGTGTATTACCAATGGCTCACACACACACACACACTAATAGTAGGGTTTCAAGGCTAGTTCGTAAAGCTGTACTTAGTAAATGATTAACAATTGAGTATTAGGAAATAAATTAGTTGACTGTAAATTTGCAAAAGTAGTCTACATGATATTTTGTACTCGAGCCTTGTAAAGTCGTAAAGCACGGTTATTGATTTCTTAGAGAAATAATGAATAGTTCAAGGTGTTTATGACAACTAAAATAAATCAGTAATAATAATAATAATAATAATAATAATAATAATAATAATAATAATAATAATAATAATAATAATAATAATAATAATAATAATAATCTGACCTGCCCTTTTCATTCTGAGGAATTGAAATAGACAAATCTAATAATTCTGATAACATTTCAGGATTTCCTTTAGTAAATTCACTGAAAGGCTCAGTGGTTGAAAAAGCACAGGATGGAATTCGATAAGACAAGGGATGACTATGAGAGGTAATATGTAGTAGGTCTGTAGTTTCAACAGATGCGTCAGCTAAAGATACAGGAATTTGGCGCACACAGTATTCTGGAGAAGTATCAGGTGACACAATACATCGTTGTCGTTTCCTCGATGCATTTGACGGTGTAATTTCATCACTATCTATCAAGACTACATTTTTATCAATAGCTTGTGGTGTTGTATTTGACTTTAGTTTATCATCTAAATTGTTCGTGACATTAACATCCCACATTCGACCACCGACTGGGACTTTATACCGTTTACTAGGAATAGGAGTAACTGGTGCAGGAAGGTGAAAATCTGTGCTTGGAACACGAGGGACAGGTGTTCGTAATTTTTGGTTAGAAACATGATCAGGACTTGGGGAAGTTAGGGAGACAAGAATTTGTGAAGCAGGAGAATATTCAACAGAACGTTCTGAAATATAAATAACAGTTAGCAAAGATGAACAGTTACAGAATTTAGAGTATTATATAAACCTACTAAATTAAATAAACGAAAAGTTGAAGAAACTGTCTAGTCGATGAATTTATATCAACGTTTACGAATAAAGTTTTAGTGAATGCGGACAGTTATTTTTGAAAGGTCAAAGGAAAATACCTGTTATTGCTGTAACTAATAGCATTGATGATTGGTTATATAGTAGATTTCCATTACTTTGGTTTCATATGTTATTTAGAACCATAATTCAAATGTTTAGACCTCAACTACCGTTGATAATACTATTTTTCATTTCATTGCTTTTCACGTTGTCGACTTCGTCTTATAGCGCTAACATGATATTTTTTTTGTTCAGTATCTTTAAATGTTACTGAATGATAAGACAACTTCATTTAAAGCTATATTAACTGATGCTTAGTTTTCAGAATAATTCAATTTGAGAGAAAAGTGATGTTTTAAATAAAAAGTTGACCATCAGATTAAATTGTAAGACTAACGTTGTTTATGGTAAAAATCAATTATGTCAGTAAGTATCAGTTTCTTTAATCATCACATCAAAGTACTGTCACAATGAGACAGATATACTCACTTCTTATCTCCCCCTTAGCCTTCGAGTTTTAAAATTACCTTATACCTCATCCTGAGAGTTTGATTCTTCCTTCTAAATCGTACTGTCTATGAACAATCATTTTTACAACAACTGGTACTGTTGCTAGTATTACTACTCCGGCATATGTCTCAAAAATTCATCTGGCTGCAGTGAAATGGTGTGCCAACTATAGCGTATACATAAATATATCAGGTTCTACATTGCTTATAACTGACTGGTCAATAATTTTCTACTGGTCTGAAAGATAAGATGAAAAAATAAAGTACCAAGGAAACAATTAATTATTTATTAGTTGTAATTGAATCTTTAATACTCACCGTTCACCACTTGTTTATTAGATGCAACTTCTTTTATACGAGCTAGTTCACTGCATACTAATCGATAGTCAGCTTCACGAAAGGCAATTTGAGCATTTAATTCACTTAGTTTACGTTGGAAATCATTTCGTTCAGATTTAAGATGTGATTCTAATTTACTGATAGTATCAGAATCGGTTGCTTTTGTTCGACTGGCAGATTCTTTAATGGTAGCAAGTTCACCTAGTTTCATATAAAGCTCTTCACGTAGAACAGATACCTAAAAAGAATTCGGTAAGAAAAATGACCCGAAATAAATAAATAAATGATATATACAAATAATACTTACGTACACACTGACAACAACTAATACAATATTTACGTAATCTTTGAAGTTGTTTGTTACTATTTTAAGATACAACAGCTTAACTAAATATACCGGTCAAACCCAAGTGCATGATTAAAAACACAAGTATGACAGGTTTTAGTGTAAATTAGGACTAACTTCGTCAAACCTGGTGTTTATTAGTGGTTATACAACTGTTTAGAACATCTTGTTCAATCGATTACGGCATCTGCATGTGTTTCATGAACTAGATTCACACTAGAGAAAACCACAATTTTCTAGACGTTTGAAATTCACAAATACTATCAACTGACTAAATGGTCATATTTTTTATGTTAAAATACCTGCAGTTATACTTAACACTCAGGTAACATGAAGGAAGATGAGTTTCAACCACTAAGAATATATTTACTTTACACGCATCATGCAAATAATTACTTTCAAATACAAAGCGTTTTACGACAGTCGATTACGTTATTCAATAAATGATAACTACCATGATAAAAATATAATACCTCCTAGTTTGATAGAAAATAAATTTGACAGCAACTTTACCTTATAATTTGAAAACATGAAATTTAACTAAGGATATGTGTCACAGAACCACTAGTCACCATAAGCACTCTAACATCGAATGTTATGAATTTCTGTAGAACACTAAATCACATTCGGAAGAACAATTAGAAGTTAGATAAGACATCTAAGTACCACAGTTAGATCATTTTCTTGTAAGTGGTTTTGTTTGATCAAAACATGAAACTTACTTCCTTTTTTAGCCGTTCAAGTTCATTTCGTCCAACAGTTGGAGTTTGATCATTAGGTGGGAAGTCAGATGTCTGCATGCACCCTCCCAACTTTGTATCTAACGAAGTTGACCGAGATAAGCAATTAGATAGCTCTAGATTTTGAAACGATGTAGAACAGATGGAAGGAACTTACTGTTTGAATGTATACTGTGTTTATTTAAATGTTCCCCACTGTATGCTGATACTAAATGGATATGACCCACTTAGTAATACCTTACTTACCATGATCATATTGATGTTGTGTACAAATGAGATCGAACTGGTCCAAAATCTCTTGAGTAAGTTCATCGTCATCCATATGTAAGTTTTCTAGATTTTAATAAATGTAAACCGACTAGTGGAGGATGTCTGTTATAGTAGTGAAAAATTACCTAAACTAGAGAAACTACAAGAACAACAGCAACAAAACGTATGATGCACATACTAATTAGAAAGTATAATTCGAAATTAATTCTTTTTATGTCTTTCAAATTGCCATAATGAAATTTGGACCAAAACTTACTGATTAAAAGATGTAAGCCGATAAAGGTTCATAAGCTACAAATTACTAGCTGGGTAACTGTCAAAGTTAGGCATCAGGGTTGATGAAAACCTAGGCTCATAGACTGAGAATTTTTTAACCAGATAAAACTAAGGTATTCTCATCTTTTGATAAGAGAATTTTAAAAATACGTGCCAGTAGTCTGCCAAGCATAGTTATGAAGTGAGTCAGTCAGCTACAACGTAGGACCAGGCACATATATGCATTGGTTCAAGTTGCCATACCTCACTAACACAACAAGATGGACACCGGATTCAGAAAAGCAGTTAATTCAGAGGTGGTAATATATAAAAGAAAGATTGCAATAAGGATATAGTACAGGAAGAAAGAATTAGTTCGTAGAAAGAAAGATATGAAGTGATTTAATCTCTTAGTTTAAGGGAAGGCATACACCGATGCCATTGTGATCGATTCTGAGCAATGTCACCAAGAGTCTCCAACCATTGGTTACGATAGTTACGTGGACCCCAACCAAGTAGTCTGCATCTACCAACATGTCTCAGACTAGAAGTTAGTGACTTCAAGCACTGATGCCACGTTTTGGTTTGCCTGCCACTAAGCACCAGTTAGCATTGCACGTCGTGGTAATCGGTGTTCAGGCATACGTAGCACGTGGCTCAACCATCTCAGTCGATGAAAATTCATAACCTCATCAACTGATTTACCATCATAACCTAATACCTTGCGTCTAACGTCAATATGACTAACCCGGTGATCCCAACAGACCCCAGCAATATTTCTAAGGCATCCGTGGTCAAATACTAGTGATAAGTATCTTCTACTGTTAATGGCCACGTTTCGCAGACGTAAAGCAGAACAGAACAAACTACCGCGCAGCACACTGGTCCCTTAATTGATAAACGGATATCTCGCCTTCGCCACGGGTGACGTAAGTTGGTGAAAACCAAACGAGCTTTTTGAATCCGTGCTGAGACTTCGTCAGACACCAACCCGTTTGGGCTGATCAAACATCCAAGATAAGTGAAGTTGTCAACGCGTTCGACTATTTCACTCCCTATCCTTAGTTTAGGTGTTGACGCAGGCCAGTCTTGAAACGACAACTTGCATTTTGAGGGCGAGAAACGCATTTCAAGCATCGTGGCATTGTTGCTCAGTGCTACCAAAAAAATTCTGTATTTTATCAGCGCCTTTATCAAACAGGACTATGTCATCTGCATATTCTAAGTCGACATGTGGACCTCCTGGTAGAGCAGTTTCTGAAAATTCAGTCGACAAGAACGTTATTTCCAGCATTAGGTCTATGATGAGGTTAAACAGAAATGGAGATAGTGGACAGCCTTGACGGACACCACTTGAGGTTGCAAAATCAGATGACAGTTCACCATAAGCCCTGACTCGACTGGCAGTGTTCGAGTAAAGAGTCCTTACAAGGCTTATGTACTTCTGAGATACGCCTTTCAATGACAGACACTGCCACAGAACCCCTCGATCTACAGAGTCAAATACTGCTTTTAGGTCAAGAAAAACCATCATCGTCGGACGCCGATAAGCATGCCTGTGTTCCAGAATCTGACGAATAGTGGATATGTGGTTGATGCAGCCACGACCAGGTCTGAAGTCAGCCTGATTTTCTCATGTTTGCAGTTCACGAGTCTTAGTTAGGCGTCCGATAATTATTGAGGCTAGTATTTTAGATGCTATATTAGTCAAACTGGTCTCTATGGTTATCATGGGATGATTTTGACTCCTTATATAATGCGACAGTCGGTGATTGAGATCAGTCAGATGGAATTACATTCAGTTCCCAGATTTTGGCTAAGATATTGATCAACCTAATCGCTAAAACTGGACTACCATCCTTAAAAACCTCTGGCGTTAATCCATCTGAGCCAGCTGCTCTCCTCGTTTCAGATTAGCTATGAAGGAATACCGATAGAATTAAGGAGAGCGATAGCTCTGAACCTAAAGCTCGTTTTGAGCATGACAATGTACTGATTAGGCAGCTGCTTAATCAACTCATGCCTCAAAATATGACTGGGGTCACCTTGCTAAAGGTGTATAGACTAGGGAGTCTAACGGACTCGAAACCAAATCATTCCAGACTGCTTAAAGTAGTATTCGGCTCTTCAAACGAACGTGACCTAATTTTACAAAATGGACACAAATTAAAGGGTTCGGGAGTCTTTATCCGAAAGGACCTACCGTTGGCAGACCGTGTTAAAAGACGGGAAGCCGAGAAAGAACTACAACATAGGTTAGACGCTGGCGAAAAGGACCTGAAAATTGTAAATTTTCGGGTTGTAAGACTTCGACAGAGAATGATGCCGAAGCCACTCTGGGTGAAGCACGAAGGCACCTAAACAGGCTCCGGATCTGTTACACCAATGCACGAAGCTTACTTAATAAGCGATCGGAACTAGGTGTACAGATTGACTCTATAAAGCCAGATATAATCGCAGTAACAGAAACCTGGCTGACACAGGCTATAGATAGTATAGAACTTGATTTCGAGGGCTTTACGTTAGTAAGGGCCGACAGAACACAAAAGCGCAAAGGAGGGGGAGTAGCTCTATTCATTAGGAATGCTATCCCATTTACCATTATCGATAGTGTATCCCATGAGAGTGGGACGTGTGAATTAGTTAGTCCTCGCTTAAAATGCAAGGGACAAGAGCTGCTGATTGGTTTGGTCTATCGCAGTCCAAGCTGTGAGGCAAATGAGATCCTGTTAAGCAGTCTCAATACTTGGTCCCAAAGTGGTCGATGTCTAATCCTAGGGGACTTTAATGCACCAATGGTAGACTGGGAAAATCTGCGAACTGAATCGTCAGAAAATTCCTTCGAGCAGGAACTAGTTGATGCGGTTATCACATGTGCCCTAGTGCAACATGTGAAAGAAGCGACTAGGTACGACCCGGACACTGAATCATCCTTATTAGATCTTATACTGACTCACTATGAGGATGATGTTGCGAACCTCCACCATATGCCACCCTTAGGTAAAAGTGACCACGCAGTTTTAACTTTCGACTTCCATATAACTGCCAGTCATGAGGACGCGTCAGTCCAGTCCAGACCCAACGTCTGGAAAGCAAACATACCAGACATCATGCACTCAGCATCGTTAATAGATTGGACAATAGACCCAGAGTCCTCCATTGAAACGGCCTGGGACGCATTTCGAAAATCATACTTAAAAGTTACCACACCTCACATCCCTTGGACTATACCAAAAGGGCCGAAAAACTCACCACCATGGTTCAGTAGGGAGGTCCGTATCCTTCTCCGTAAGAAAAGGAAAACGTGGGATAGATTTAGGTTACTGGGGACTGATGAGTCAAAATCTCAGTATCGAAAGGCTCGGAACACTTGTGCCTCGACCCTCCGTAAGTCTAGAAAATTGTACGAAGAAAAACTTGTTAAGGAATCCATAGAATGTCCTAAACGCTTGTATTCCTATATAAACCAAAGGACAAGGAGAAAAGGAAATATTCCTGCTCTATGGGGAGACAGTACTGCTTCATCATTAGTGGAGGACGACTTTGGTAAGGCTCAAGCGTTCTCGAACTACTTTAGCAACGTGTATACCATAGAAGCGCCCTTCTCGTCAGCGTATACAGATCCCCCCATACATACACTGGATAGCGTGACCATTAAAGAACTCGATGTCTTTGGTCTGCTAAATAAGCTTGACATAGGTAAATCCACGGGGCCCGATGAATTACATCCTAGGCTACTGAAGGAATTATCTAACTTCGTTGCGAACCCTTTAAGTACATGCTTTAACCTATCCGTTACGCAGGGTCGCTTACCGAAAGATTGGAAAAACGCCATAGTAAGTCCTGTCTTCAAAACAGGCACGAAACACAAACCTGAGAACTACCGCCCCGTTAGCCTAACTAGTGTGGTTGTTAAAATATTAGAAAAGATTATTCGGAAGGAGCTGTTTAAGTATCTCGATAAAAACCGGATCCTCTCGGAGAAGCAGCATGGCTTCAGAATAGGTTATTCTTGTCTCACTAACTTATTAGTGGCTCGTGAAAGCTGGTGTGCTCTTAAGGACCAAAAGCTACCTGTAGACGTCGCCTTCATTGATTTCAGTAAAGCTTTTGATAAAGTTCCGCACAACCGGCTGTTATATAAGTTAAGACATGTCGGGATTGGAGGTAATTTATTGATGTGGATAAAAGACTTCTTAGTCGGGCGTCAACAAAGAGTAAGGGTGAACTCAAAGTTATCTAGCTGGGAAACTGTGCTTAGTGGAGTGCCCCAGGGTACAGTTTTGGGGCCAGTGCTATTCCTCTTGTATGTAAATGACCTTCCTTGTCTCCTATCATCATCGGTCTTGCTATATGCTGACGATGTCAAGATATGGAGAACGATACGATGTAAGAGTGATAGCTTAGAACTTCAAAATGACCTGAAGAAGTTATCTGAATGGTCTCAAACATGGCAGTTGCCGATAAATACTTCCAAGTGTGTTGTGATGCATATAGGTCATCAAGGCACAGATACATACACGATGAATAACACTGAGCTACCTGTCGTCCAGACATACAATGACTTAGGAGTTATCGTTAGTCAAGACTTAAAGACTACTGCACACTGCCGTGCAATAGCCGCCAAAAGTTTTAGAACGTTATGGTCAATACGTAGGGCTTTTAGTCATGTCGACACTAAGACGTTTATGACTTTGTATACAGTGTTCGTTCGTCCTAAACTTGAGTACTGCATACAAGCGGCTAGCCCCTGCTTTAAAAAAGACAGAGAGCTTCTGGAAAAGATTCAGAGAATGG